AGGGCATCTGACAGTTGGCCAAGCACCTCGGCCCTGGTCTGTCCCATACGTTGTTGCTGGGTGCCGTGACGTCGATCCTGACTCCATGTGACGAGTAGAACTGCCACCCAGCAGTTTCTAGGCTGTAATCTTGATGGGAGTGGATCGCCAGCAGTTTCTCCCACAGACCTCCTGGGTGGGTTCGAACTGCCAGCATTTCAGTTAGCAGCTGAGTGCTTAACCGTTTCTGGTGAAGTTGGTAACTGATACATTGATGGGCACATTATTTTTCACACATGATTTTCTGGTTTACAAGTGTGCTTTCACAGAGTGTCTTACAGAGGAGTTTTATCTGCCTCATAAGAGAATTTCATCATCCAGTAATGTACACAAAGCCAGTTAAAATGTCCTGCACTCTTGGAGACTTTCAGGCAGGGGAAAGAAAATTTGGTTCAAGAGTCTGACAAACACCTTGTATACTGCAGAGACATATACTGACCTTGTTTTCATACTGCTTGTGTGTCGAAGGAGCCCTTGGGTGGGGCCAACAATTAACAGCCTCGGATGCCAACAGAAAGGTAGAGGCTCAAGTTCACCCAGTGGCATCTGGGAAGAGAGGCCTGGCCACCTGTCGACCAAAGTCAGCCATTGAAAACCTGGTGGAGCACAGTTCTACTCTGACACACATGGGGTCTCCGGGAGTCAGAGTCCACTCCGTGACAGTTGGTTAGTGCTTCGTAAACGTGGTTGGTACCCAGCAGTTTGCACATTCACTTATTGTGCGGTTAATTTTCCATGTTAAAAAATGAGGTTAATCATAATGAAAACACATGTGAAGTAAATATTTTCTGAATGCCAGTCACGTGCATAGTGTGTTCTGGGTGCTGTGTAAGAGAATGACGGATGTCACTGTTCCTCAAGGTTTATGTTAATTCAGTAAAAACCCCTGACTTAAATAGGAAAGTTAACTTGCTTTCACAAATAGTATTTCAGTGACTTTAAAATAACTCATGGCAAGTTCTGTGGCCCCCTTCCATGTTCTAGCTCCTCTGAAGTTTGGATACCCTCTTACATGTTCTAGCTCCTTTGAAGTTCAGTGACCTTCTCTTACATGTTCTAGTTCCTTTGGTATGTTTGCAGTCTTGGGTGGAAGAGACACAATCTCCAACAGGAAAGGAGAGCAGAACATTTCTTATCCATGTCATGTTTCATAAACATGCCAACTGTTTATATTCCTGCAACTTTCTCATTTACTGTCTACCCTTTGTCTTTCATTATTAACAGTGTACAGTTCATCGCCGCTCCAAAAAAAAAAAAGCCAACAAAAATTGATTCCATGTAGTTGTTAAAAGCAGGAAACTAATACAGGGCAGGGGTGGATTTCTGAGATGCTTTACTTCAACTCCATTATTTTACTAAAATGGAAAATGGAATCCCAGAGAGATCCAAGGTCACAGAGGAGGTGATGGAAGTTCTAGGACAAAGACCCCAGTAGGTTTTGTCTTTCCTAGTAGGGTTTATGTATATAATATGTGTGTGTATAGTTCCTCATCAATGAGTAGTATTGGTGCATTCAAATAGGTTACTCTGACACCACTCTCACATACGAAAATTACAGAGGCCATATCCTTGGGACAGAAAGTATTGTATTTTCAAAATGATTTTGGTGCTGTTGTTAGTTTCCATCTAGATTTTTTGATTCATGTTTCCTATAGTTCTCTAGTTACAAGCACAACTATCAAGAATGTTTTGTCGAGTGTAAGAGTTCTATAAAATATTTTACTACACATGTTACTAAACCAATAACTAGCATCACTCCAAGAATTGACCCTAATATTTTGTTTGTTTGTTTCAAATTCAAAGCAGGTCTGGTGGTGCTGTGGTTAAGGCATTGGGCTGCTAACCAAAAGGTCAGTGGTTTGAATCCACTAGCTATTCAGTGGGAGAAGAATGAGGCAGTCTGCTTCCATAAAGACTTATAGCCTTAGACACTCTGTGGGTCAGTTCTGCTCTATCCTGTAGGGTCACTATGAGTGAGAATCAACTCGATGGCAGTGGCTTTGGTTTTGCTTTGGTTTCAAACTCAGATATCTCATAATGTCAGTAATAATCTCTACCACAATTTCCCCCCTGTGCTTTCAGATGTGTCAGGCGCTTTCCTTAGCTTTCATGATAAGCTCATTTAATCATTTAAAGTAGATACAATTATTATCATTTTCATTTTATAGGTGAGGGACTTGAGGCTTCATCTTGGAACATTGTTGAATTTCAGGAACTTATCCGACATTGCACAAGCTCTGGTGGCGTAGTGCCTAAGGCACTTGACTGCTAACTAGAAGGCTGGCAGTTCAAACCCACCAGCCACTCCTCGGAAGGAAGGTTGGGTAATTTACTTCTGTAGTGATACTGCCTCGGAAACCCAAGGAGAGGTCACTATGAGTTGGGTTAGACTCAACGGCAGACAACAACAACAACAACAACCAAGATTGCATAGTTAAGACAGACCCAGAGTTTGAATCTTTATCTGACATAAATTCCCATAACCATTACCAGTGCCTTGGTACTGTAAACGGTGTGCTCAGCTGTTAACTGCAAGGTTAGGGGTTTGAGTCCACCCAGAGCTGCCTCAGCAGAGAGGCCTGGCAGTCTATTCCAAAAAATCATCCATGGGAAGCTCTGTAGGTGACATGGGTGGGAGTACTCCTCTGACATGTGGCATTGCCATGAGTCAGAATTGACTGGAGAGTAACTAGTTTTGAATTTTACCAGTGTGCAATTATATTTTACCAAATTTCAAAAATAATATAGTCTAAATATATCTTTTTTTTTAATCTTAGGAACTGAAGCATTTATGTCTTATTTTTTAATGAGAAAATTCTCTCTCTTAAGAGAGAAGACCACTGAAACTGGAAATGGGCTTCAGTTTCACAGGTTTCCATGCTAGTCTCAGACTTTTCTCCGCAGAGCCACCCCATACCTCCCATCCCAGCGACCTAGGGTGTCATTTGCAAGAAGGAAGCTGTGGGACCCTGCCCCTTCCCATTCCAGTAGCCCTCCTGGTAGAGGCCAGTCATTATGAGCGACTGGCCATGATGCCAGGCTCACCATCAGGCTAATCCATGTACTACCGCACGATTGCCTACTTCAGGCACCTCCTTGCTTTATTTTACCCTAGAAGACCTGTCTCTTAATTAAGGAGATTAGTTCAGGCTAATAGCAAGGTTAGTTAACATCAAGCTGTGGCCCCAAGCTAATTGTTCTTTAGAATTCTAAATCTTGGATGGAAGATCTGGAAATTAGATGAATGTGTTTGGTGCACAATAGACTCTATATCATCAATAGACTCTAATATTTTTTCACACATTCTAATGGTTCTCAGCATATCTCATTTCTCAACATGATCAGCATATAGGTTCATTGTAGATCATTCTGGAATCCCTTCTGGAATATCAAAACATTACGGAAACATTGATTGAACAAGTACGTTCATTTCAATAGCATTCAAAGTCATTGCCACCTCTTTCTTCCAGTTGTGTGTCTGGTTGTGTGTACTTTTTCATGACATTTAGTAAATTTATATGTGTATATATATATATACTATACTAGGAAGGAAGACTGGGCAATCTATTTCCGTAGTGATATCACCTTGGAAACCCAAGGAGGGGTTGCTATGAGTTGAGTCTGATTTCACAGCAGTGAGATACAGCTGTATCTATCCATATTTTACTTTCACCTTTCTTCTCCATTTGGTGTTTTTCATAAGCAATATAACCTCAGAAATCTTTCTCTAATGAGAAACAGACACATGTTACAGGAGAGGGAGGTGGAAGAAACTGAAAATCTTATGCCATGAGGACTGTATTTCTTTGCTTTGATTGGAACATATCTTTTAGCTTCGTCTTCTTAAAACTATATTTATTTTTATTCCTCTCTCTTTTAAATAAATAAGTAAATAAATAAATAAATAAATAAACCCAGAAATCCAGGAATAACCAAATGGTAATTTTTCTCCTTTTCTCCTTAATTATTCTATTGTTGATTTATTTATAGCTAGTAAAATGAATTCATAAACCAAAGTGCAGCAAAGTGATTTAAGTGAACACTTTGTCATAAATTCTCATTCCTCTGTGTTTTGGGGTGTGTTTGGAAGTTTAATTTGGCTGCCGATTTTCTCTCTCTTGCATAATCAGAATTCTGTAACTGGAATAAATAGGCCTCATAATAGATAGCTTTTGGGGGCTGCTACTAAAACCTCTTTTGGTAGCAGGCCAGCAGTGCACTGTGCTATGCATAGAGTACTATACTCTAATACCACTAGTCCGTATGGAGACCCTACTGTGTATGAGGTGTCCAGCAGGACGCTCACGAAGTGGTTGTGGCAGAGTCGACAGCTGCGTTAAACACGCGGTAACATGCTACATGGCACATGTGACAGTCAGTTTGAAGGGTGGAGAATGAAAAGCGCTGAACCTTTCAGCTGATCACAATCAAATCAGAGCACATCAAAACAGCTGGTGTTCTGTGAGTCACACTCACTCAACCGCTTCTGAATCACCTCCTGCTTCTTTATTTTCTCTTCACAGTTTCACAGCAAAGATTTAAGCCCACAGAGGTCCTTCCCACTTGGTTAAATCCCTGCTTTGAGCTGCTTGGCTTTCATATTCTAATACTAATGAATAAAAGTGGCTGTAATATAAAAGAGAAAAAAAAGACTAGCAGTAAATGAATTTTTAAATGCTGTTGCTCTTTGTGTTAAATAAACCATATGCTCAAATAGAATGCCCTAGAAGAACCATACAAATTCAAGGTTGTATTTCGGAATGAGGAAAATTGTGCATCAGCAGAATTTATATAATATACAAATATAGCAACGTTGTCATTTTCAATCTCAGAATATCATTGCTATTTTAAGCTTATACAAATAATGATACCTTGGGCAAACCGACATTAAATTAGTAATTGAAAGCTGAAAGATGTTAAGCATTTTGGTTTCTGACAAGAGCTCTTGTCTTTGTCCTGATAGGTACCTATTACACCATTCTTTGGTGAAGACTACTCAGCAGTGGTGACCTCTTCCAATCAAACACTCTACAAATTATTATTTGGGGACGTCCAGCAGACACCCTGCCGGAGGCAAGCACTACTAAGCCAACTGGAACTGGGCCTTTTCTCTTGTCAAGGTTTTTTTCTTACACAGGAAAACGAAAGAAAGAAAACAAAAGATGAAGTTGGGCAGAGTGGAGTTCTGCCGTTTTCTGCAGCTTGTAGCTCTTTTCCTGTGCTTTTCTGGGATGGGCCACGCAGAGCTCTCGAAGTCCAGCTCCAAGCCTTATTTCCAGTCAGGGAGGTTGCGGACCAAGCGCAGCTGGGTGTGGAATCAGTTCTTTGTGCTGGAGGAGTACATGGGTTCCGACCCCCTCTATGTAGGAAAGGTAGGGCATCTGGTGTTCCAAAGTTGCAAATGATTATTGTCAATGTCTGTGGTTGGATGGAGAACTGCTCATTTTGGCTTTGGAGTGGAAAACACAAAACCATCACTCCTATGAACTAGCTTGCATAGTGGGTAGCATTTGCTACTCTGCATTGCAATCTGGGTATTATCCAGTACAGTGAAGGCACAGTTTCATGAATGATGTTTTATTCCTTGAGACGGTGAGGACTCTACAGAGGCTACCATGATGATGGCACCTCAAGGATGTTCACTCATAAATGAAGAGGAGTGGGTTTGTGCAGTCAGTTGATTTTTTTAGCTCCTTCTTTTCCATGGATGCTACATAAACAATGCCAAATGTATGCTTACATGTTCTTTCCTGATACTTGAAGTTTCAAAACTACAATGTGAAATTTCTGAGCTGTTTGGCTGTCTAGTGTAAGAAACTCAAGCCTACTTTTTTTCATTAGTCTTGTTTTGATAGATCTTTGTTTTTTACTTTTTTCCTTACTTTCCTTTTGGCTAACAATGAGTATGAACAGAAGTCGGTTAGCAGTGACATTGGCCAGTATGTGGTACTAAAGAGAGTGCATTTGTTTGGTGACCAGTTGCTGCCATATTGAAATTACCTTTTCTCTGCTTCCTCTTTGAATATTTGGGCAGGGGTTTCCATTGAATGCTTGGGAACTAACAGGGGCACATTGGCAGAGCATGGCCTTCCCCTTATTCTTGTATCATGGCCCAGGCCCAGTCTACTGCAGGCTCAGTTCTTTTCATATTTTAAAGATTTCCTGAGGTTCCTCCTGAGCACAGACAGAGTTTTTCTAAGTCAAATGCATTCTGAGAAATTCATACCTCTGCTTCTACTGTTTACTTTGTCAGTTTTATGCTTCTGTTTCTGATAAACTGAAGCACAGCAAACTCGTGAATTTATCTAGGAATGAATTTTTCAACTTTGAATAATTGAAGAATCTCTGCTATGTAGCCCAGTGATATTTTTCCCCCCATTTGAACACATCTTAATTAAGGATGAAAACAGACATTTTGGTTGACAGGCATGTACATAAACCCAGGTCATCTTTGTGATGTTGTTGTTGTTATGTTGTTATTTGCCATCGAGTCAGACCCGACTCATAGCGACCCCTCCTTGGGTTTCCAAGGCAGTATCACTATGAAAGTAGATTGCTCTATCTTCCTTCCGAGGAGTGGCTGGTGGGTTTGAACTGCCAGCCTTTTGGTTAGTAGTCTGTGATAGTCATCATTATTCCCCTTTAGTACCTTGCTATTTCACAGGTGCTCATTGATATTGTAATGCACAAAGAGGAACTGGGGTAGCTTAAAGGTTTAAGCCCAGTTCTTTCACTATCATGCCCTAAAAAGAGTTTGTAACAATACGAGTGTGTTTGTGAGTATTTTTTTCAGTAGTCATTCTGTTTTCTTCAGTGGCACTGTGACATAGACTGTGAATGTGCTAGATTTCTCTCATGTTTGCTTCACTAGGTTGTTATTTTGTGAAAAGGGGATGAAAGCAATGATCGTGACATAGTGTTTTGACTAAGAATCCATCTCTTACTTCTGTTCATTTTTGATGGCCATTGAGAAAACTCATCAATCTTTCTTTAATGGACGGATTGACAATACTCAGCTGAGAAACTAGCTGTCAGTAGTTATTAGGTGAAATGATTCTTTTGTGAGAATGTATTATATTCTAAAGACAACTAAAATAGTCCCAGTATTTGGTTTTAAATGAAGTTACTTGGCCAAGGTTGACCTTTCAAAAGTCAGTATAATTTTTTTTTTTTACCCTTCTTTTTAATTTATGATCTTCATGTAATAACTCAGAACAGTGATACAGAACTAACCCTAGACTTCACTGTAAGACAGTGAGAATGTGCACACCACTGGGCTCCTCATATTCCACATGCAAGCAAAATCCTGGCTGAAGCTGTTGCTATTTTCCTAAGAGGAATTGTGTTTTCCTGATTAGATGACATGGCATAGTTTGTGCTTCCCTTTCAATTAATCAGAGATCTCTCAGCAGGCTTTATGTGACAAGCAAGTAAATTTGGATCTATCTTTTTTACATAGTATGTTAAAAGTTCAATACAACAATTCACAGTAGAATACTCAGGATAAAAGTAGATTACAAAACAAGGAAACACTTACTTGATTAAAACAGAAAAGGTCAGTAAAATAATTCAAGGTGAAGAGAGAATTTATGGAGAGAGACAAATGAAAGGGCCTTAGAAGGGCTTTCTGTATTTGCCTGGAACCAGGGGGCAGAGTTTCATTTTCCGATTTTGTGTATTGGATGATGAAATTATCCTTTTTATATTGGTGGTCTGAAAAAGCAAGGATAGAAGAATAAATTTGACCTTTGTCCACTTTGGATCATTGGAGTATGTCAAATAGCTATGTTTTCCTTTCTTCTCCTTGTGGAGGAAGGTAATGGCTATGACTCTAGTGTTTGTAGGACAGAGAGAACTGGGTGTTATAAACAAATGTGTGCACAAATGCATAGGTGGGCAGTCATGGGGAAAAAAAAGCAAGAACCTAATCACTGTTGTGTGTAGAGGTATATTTAACCTCTGCCAGTTAGACTACCACAATCCTAGTCTGCCTAACGGTTTTCTCTTTGGGTAATTTGGAAATGTGAGTGATGACTGCAGTATGCTATGTAGCATAATTTGATCACGTAATGGATGTGTACAGTGTGTGCCAAGTTGACCAGTTTTAGTGCTGGCTTTACGACTTCCTATTAGTTACATGTTGGGGATATTTCCTAATATTACTAAATCTTAGTTTCCTCCTCTGTAAAATGGGAATAATGATGTCTACAACTGAAGTCTCTTACTAAGAATTAGGAGGCCTGGTGGCACAGTGGGAGCTCTGGTGATGTAGTGCCTAAGGCATTTGACTGCTAACCAGAAGTCTGGTGGTTCAATCCCACCAGCTACTCTCTGGCAGTTAGACTGGGCAATCTACTTACATAGAGATACCACCTCAGAAACCCAAGGAGGGGTTGCTGTGAATCAGAACCAACTTGACAGCAGTGAGGTTTTTTTTTTTTTTTTTTGGTGGCATAGTGGTTAAAGACTTAGCTGCTAACTGAAAGGTTGGTGGTTTGAGGCCACTAGCCACTATGTCAGAGAAAGATGTGGCAATCTGCTTCCATAGAGATTTACAGCCTTGGAAAACCTGTAGTTTGGTTCTGTGTCTTAAAGGGTCACTATAAGTCGGAATCAACTTGATGGCAGTGGGTTTTATCTCTTGTGATAATGTCAAAATTTAGAAATACAGTATATCTTTTTATGTTTATGTATGGTTAGACTCTGGCCAAAATATAGTTTCAGTGTGAGTAGTTCAGTCCTTAAACACAAGAACTTCAAATGTCAGAGAAAACATGTCTAAATTTTTGTACACCTTCTAATTTGAAGATTTGTGTGGTATGTATTGCTGGTGGCCAAGATGAGATAAATATCTGTATCATAGATAAAAGTTGGTCATTAAGACATGGCTGCCAATGTACCATCTGGCTTCTGATCTTATTATTTTATCTAATTTCCTACCTTTGCTTCACATAATAACCCAAGACTAAAGTGAAACAGCCTGTTAAACCCTCCCTAGACCCCAGGCCACAGATTTCAAGACTTGGTTAGACTCTGATGGCTGTTGTCATCACTGTCCCTCTGATGGTATGAGTAGATAAACTGCTGACATTAAATGTGTGGTCTCATTCATTTGACAAGTCTCCAAATGCTGTCTGTAATGTGCGGTAATGCACCTGTCCCCATGTGTATCATCCTTAATGACCACCGTGTTTGCTCTCTCATCCTTCCCCAGGGAGAAGGAGGAGAACCCTTTCCTTATTCCCTGTGATTTTTTGTCACCACTGAACTAGCTTTTGGAAGTGCACGAAACGTGACTTTTCCACCATCTCATTGTTGCACATGCCACTTTCCACCCAGCCATTCCCTCAGCTTGGCATTTCTCACGTAGTGTCACCTCACCATCTGACAAAAAATCTGTCTGCAAAGCCACCCAGCCTCTGTTCCAGGTACTAAGTATTTTCATCTCTCCTAACTGTAATGGGCTGCCAGCCGATTGCTGCGCGCTGGGCCATTACTCTTCCTGAAATGTGTGCTCCGTGCCTCATCCACAGTCTGCTTCCTTAGCTGTGAACCTCACTCTAGCATTTCTGCTCCTCCCCTTCTTCCCTCCTTATCAGGAAGGATTTATACCTATTACCCTAGTTGCAATCAAAGCCACAAAAAATGCAGTACAGGAATCACTTTGCTTTAAATCTAAACTTGCTTGAAAGCGTTGGTGAGCATTTTTGATGCATTTAATTATACCTCAGCAGTATCTGTCACCAGGGGATTCTCCATCTCCTGATACCTAAAGGTACGCTCAGTGTTCCAGAATGACAGTCTCCATCTCTGAAATAGATTGTGGTCAAAGACAAAGTCACAAACTAGACTCTTTAGTTGGGCAAATGTATGTTCGATTCACAGAGGAAAATGATGACCCCAAGTATTAATTACTTAGGGAAGTTCATCATGTGAAATGCACATTTTATAGATTTTGGAGAGAAAGAAACATTCAAAACAGCAAAAATGTCCTCTGAAAATAGAGATCACCCAAGTCTGATCAGCTTTCAGGAGAAACCAAACACTTTTGTTTCCTTATTTATGTATCATTCCCTCCCTGCCACTGAGTCAATTCCAACTCATAGCAGCACCCAATGGGTTACCAAGGCTGTAAATCTTTACAGAAGCAGACTGCTTCATCTTTCTTCCACAGAGTAGCTGGTAGGTTCGAACCACCGACCTTTTATTTAGCAGTCAAATGCCTTAACCGCTACACCAACAGAGCGCCTCTAGTTATGTAAAGGAAACTCATTTTCAGAACATCTTTCTAACCAGAATGACTTTGTGAAGGCCCTTGTTCTTATCTTCTTGTTCATTTGCTGTCAAATGTGTGGAGCTCCTGGTGACATCA